TGCTCACCTCCCTTTTCTTAACTTTCTCTTTCAGACCAACAAAGCCAGACAAACACATGGCCTCACATCTGGAAGGGTTTGCCTGAGAACCGTCATTCACTTGCAGTTCTTTGTGTTCTTCAAGAGGCCACACTGTTACTGTGTCCTGTTTACGCCAAGAGAAACAGAATACACCAAGTAAAACTACTCATAAAGTATAACATTGCTAATAAACAGACAAATCATAATTGGTAACATTTATAGGTAACGCTTCTTTATTGTATCCTTGTTACACATTACATATATTTAATATAGTAATAACAATAAATTATTTAATATAAAATATTAATAGGGCAAAATGTACTGTAAAATTACCATTACATTTTCCTTTTTTTTTTTTCTCTCCTTTTCCTTTTTTTTTTCTTCTGTGCCCTAATTAATTGTGCCCTATTTTTACAGTGTAAATTAATGTTAAAAATTGATCTGTTTAAGACTTTTTAATGACAAAATCCTCATGTTCTATGTTTTAGTAAAGTTGTCCTGTGCTAAAGGCTTGATTGTTGGTCTGAAGTGTTGGAATAAGTAATTTGCATGTGGCAAATCAAACTTTTCAATTATAATTTATTTTGATTTAATTATCAAAACCAGAATGTTTGCAATATAATAATTACAATTCGTTACAACATTTAAGCTTTTGTCCCTCAAAACACACAAAATGTGGAACAAAATGAATACTCTATACTCAATTTTTCTCAACAAATGACACAAAAAGGAAAATATTTCATGTGGGCATGATGATTAAAAGCTCTAACAGATCTGTGAAAAAAAAAAAAGTGTGTGAATATTCTGACAGCAAATCCACTTGTTGTAGATGTTAAAATGTAAACCACACAGGCCCCCTGGCCCCCGCGGTAGCACTGGGGAGAAAAAAGCTCCTTAATGTGATGCAATCTCTGTTGAGCTAATCTCTAACCAGAATCAAAGCAAGAAGAGGGGGGGGAAAAACACTGAGTGCTTTGAACAAGCAGCACCAAATGGTGTGTGCAATTAATCTCAGATCCTCCAGCACAAAAAAAGCAATTTGTATGTTAAAGAATGGGAGTAGTGGTCCGGCGGTTCTGTCAAGATGCCAGAGATGACCCCACAGGTACCCTCAGCACCAATCTGTTGCGTGCTAAATACCGGCTTTAATGAGGAGCCATGTGCTTGCTCCATGTGAAGAGACTGCTGTCTCAGTCGGGTAGAGAGGAGAGCACTTTCTCATTCACACACACACAGTGCAGATCCAGAGCCCCATCTTTTGTCATCCATTATCTCCTTAAGCATGCGTCTCCCCTGGCTGCTGTCACCCGTCCGCTCTGGTGGTCAGACAGATGGTCACGAGTGCTTCTCCACCCGTACACTACTCCATACCACACACACACACTCATTTCCCAAACATCGCCTACACATTTTCACTTTCATTTTCTGTAATCCAAAATTATACAAACTGGTGTTCAGTGCCCTGTGTTTGTGTTGAGCTGGACAGGTTTTCTTTTTTCTGTTGGAAGAGAGAGGTTCATGATGGACTCGTTTTTTTTTGCATGTAATACTGATTTAAATGTACAGATGGCAAGAACTGGCATGTGCCTCTTGAAATAATCCAGCATTAGGGTTGATTTCTTCATGCAAATTGCCCAGTTAAGAGCTTCTGTATGCTTCAGATCTATTTGAGCAACAAGAGCTGCCCTCTTAAAGAGAAAGGCCTATTCTTGAGTTCCAACAAAAGAAAAGAGCCTGACAACAGCTTTCAAATTGCTACTGCCCTTCACAGGAATCGTCAGAAAAAAAAACTGTTATATTTTGATATAACTGCAAAACCAAAACTATATTTTATATATAATATAACCATAACTATATAACCACTTATATAAAAACTATATAAAACTATATAAAAAAAACAAAAAACAACCAAGATGGTAAAAATGTTAACCAAAATATAATAATTTAGTTTATGTTTAGTTTAAATTGATGTACTATAATAAATATCATTAAGAGGCAAGGGTTTGCATTGCATTAAGGAATTACTCACTGATTTATGGATCCTGATTAATGATGGTCATTTTGGGGTTGAAGGTATAATTTTTCACCTGTTAAAGGGGTCATACAATGCGATATCAAGTTTTCCTTTCTCTTTGGAGTGTTACAAGCTGATTGTGCATAGATAAGATCCCTGAAGTTGCAAAGACTAAAGACTCAAACCCAAAGAGATATTCGTTATCAAAGTTAAGAGCAACAATATATAAGTGCAAATGACAAGTCTCGGTTAGCCTAACACAGTACATTTAGCAAGGTGTATTTACTGTATATATATTATGCAAACAGATACACACACACACACACACACACACAGAGAAAAACAAGTAAAAAAAATAGAACGCTAGTGTTTTTTTGTTCGTTTTTTTAATAAAAAGGTCATTCCACCAGGAGGGAACAGTTAATGAAAAAGTCTGTGAAAGGGATTTTGTGCCTCTTTTCAAGTTTTCCTTTCTCTTTGGAGTGTTACAAGCTGATTGTGCATAGATAAGATCCCTGAAGTTGCAAAGACTAAAGACTCAAACCCAAAGAGATATTCGTTATCAAAGTTAAGACGCCCTCCTAAAATGCCTCGTTTAAACATGCCCCCACATGTCTACATCACTGTGTGGGAAGATTTTCATAACACCGCGCAAAAGAAAGAAGGCATAACTTTGATTCTCGCTGTAGTATTGTCGTGGAGATGCTGTGTGTTTCATTATGAAAGCGAAGCTACTTTGTTTGGCCTTCCAAAAGAGGACACGACTAATAATCAGTGGTTAAGTTGTATTTACAACTCTGTTCCAGAACAGTTTGTGTATGTAGTATCCATATATTCGTGTGTGCAACGCATTTTACGGAGGACAAGGACTGTTTCCTGGGAGAGTAGCCTACAATGCTGTTTTGTTTTCTGACAAATAATGCTGACTCACAGACTGTAAGTATGTTTTCATATTTAAAGGATTTGCCACTGATGATTCAAACGTGAGTTTTGAGCAGTGTAGAGTAGCGCTTGTTGTTTGTCATTTCTCCGATCACAAATGAAGACATGGTTTTATGTTTACGCGGCGCGATACACAACGCAACGCGTAAAAAGACAGTATAAGTCATTATAATCAGTAATTATGTCCCCACTGGATGCAACAAATGCCTCGTTTATAATGGGTTTTATTGGTTTTGTCTCATCGCGCCAGGACACGGCATCACAGTATAAAGGGCGTAACATTTCCATCACACGCTTGAGGTATTCGGCCAATCACAATGCACTGAATAGCTGGCCAATCAGCGTACACCTCGCTTTTCAAAATGATGAGCTTTGTAAAAATCGATGCGTTTCAGAAAGGCGGGGCATAGATGAGAAACAATAATGTACAGTATGTGGAAAATAATGTGTTTTTTAACCTTAAACCGCATAAACACATTTCATTACACCAAATACACAAAATAATGTTCTTTTT